GTGCCCATTTTGTGCCTTTTTGAAGTTCTCTAGGGTCTCCTTAGTATGTGCCATTGGCTAAGGTGCCCATTTGATGCCTTTTTGAAGTTGTTTAGGGAGTCCTTAATATGAGCCAGGGGCGAAGGTGCCCATATGGTGCCTTTTTGACGTTGTTTAGGGTCTCCTTAGTGTGTGCCAGGGGCTAAGTTGTCCATTTGGTGCCTTTTTGAAGTTGTTCGGGCCCTCTTTCGTGTGTGCCAGGGTCCACTCCGCCCATTTGGTTCTTTTGAGAAGTTTTTAGGGTCTCCTTTGTATGTGACAGGGGCTAAGGTGCCGATTTGGTGTCTTTTTGTAGTTGTTTAGTGTCTCCTAAGTCATTAATAAAGGTGTTGAACTGGACCGGGCCCAGGACGGAACCCTGCGGCACTCCGCTCGTCACTTCTTTCCAAGATGAAGAGAATGCATTGGTGAGAACCCTCTGGGTTCATCCATTTAACCCATTCCACGGCGTTCCCCGCATCTACCCAACTTGTAACTCTATCAAAAAACGAGATCAGATTGGCCCTCCTCCAGTCTACTGGAACTTCTCCGTTCTCCAAGAACTCTCAAAGATGATTGCCAATGGCTCCGAAATGACTTCCTCTAGTTCCTTCAATACTCTTGGCCCTGAAAAGGGACTTGAGCTTATTTAGAGCGGCCAGGTATTCCTGGACGGCTTGTTTCCCAATTTGGGGTTGGATGTCCTCTAATTCCTCTTCCACTCCATCTTGCTGAGGTTGAAGATGACTTTCTTTTTGTGAGAAGACTGAGGCAAAGAAGGCATTAAGTAGTTCTGCTTTTTCCCTATCCCCTGTTAGCATTGCTCCATCTTCTCCTCGAAGAGGCCCTATCGCTTCCTTTTTTTTCCTTTTTCTACTGAAATAAGAAAAGAAGCCCTTTTTATTGTTTTTAATGTCCCTGGCAAGCCTGAGCTCGTTTTGTGCTTTAGCCTTGCGGACCTTTTCCCTACAGGGGTTGGCTATTTGTTTGAATTCTTCTTTGGTAATATCTCTCTTTTTCCACTTCTTGTGCATGTCTCTTTTGTGTCTTAGCACAGTTTGAAGTTCTTTGGACATCTATTCTGGCTTTTTTGCACTTGTCCTATTTTTTCTCTTTGTTGGCACGGTTTGCAATTGCGCCTTGAGTATTTCACTTTTGAGAAATTCCCATCCATCCGTAACTCCCTTGTCTTTTAGTATCTGTGTCCACGGAGTGCTGCTCAGCGTTTCCTTCATTTTTCGGAAATCAGCTCTTCTAAAGTCTAAAATGCGGGTTTGACTTGTCTTAGTTTCGGCCTTCCTTTGTACCTCAAATTGCAGGAGCAATGCCGGCTGAGATTTTTTGGCACGGCACCCAGTGTGCCGATGACCACAGGGACCACCTGGACTGGTTTACGCCAGACCTTTGCCGTTTGATTTGAGGTCTTGAGAACGGCTGAGTTTTTCTGTTGTTTTTCCTCAATGCGACTCTCACCCGGTATGGCGACATCAATCATCCAGACTTTTTTCTTTTCCACAATCGTGATGCCTGGTGCATTGTGTTCCAAAACTTCATGAGTCTGGATTCGAATGTCCCACAGTATTTTTGCGTGTTCATTTTCAGGTTTATGATCCCACTAATTCTTTACTGCTGGCAGGTGGTACTTGTGACATAGGTTCCAATGAATCATTTGGGCCACAGAGTTGTGCCTCTGTTTGTAGTCCATCTGTGCAATTTTCTTGTAGCAGCTGAGGATATGATAAGGATATTATTATTATTATTATTGTTATTATTATTATTATTATTATTGTTATTATTGTTATTATTATTATTATTATTATTATTATTATTATTATTAT